TATCAGTCTGATGAAAATAAGAGGCTTGAAAAACATAGGATCCAGTAACGTTTAATCACACTTTCATTATATAGATAAATATTGAGTATTCCTTCTTAAAGCCCCAAATATTATACTTGTGTATACACATTATCTGATTTATAAATCTAGACACATTTTTTGTACAAATCTTACTTCAGGAACTTACAAAACATAAAAAGAACATTGAATAACGTAGCTCAGCGTTAATCAATGCAATAAGTTATACAACCGCTAAAAAACAAATCTAATGAATGGGATGAGACAATTACTCACAGTGTTTAATTTTTAGTCATCAGAACACAAGTAACTTGCAATTATCTATTCATCTACATTTGTTCATTTGTTCCAAAAAATCTCAGTATCTGAAGTATTTGATCGACGTATTCAATTCAACACAATCAAACGTTATACAATCGAATTTATATCATAATTCCGATTATATCATACACAATAGTACACTCTATAAAATAGTTCATAACTGGTTAATTAATCGTATAGATTTGTAATGATTGTATTGCACTTTATTTACATTAACCTTGAATATCATTTGTTAGAAATAGACAATATATACCAAAAACAACAAAAACATTTAATAAAACTGTAATAAATCTATTCCCAGTAACTATATACATAAAGTGAGAGAAAAAAAGTAGATTCATTAGTCTCACTAAAAACCTACTTAACCAAGATTTGCAAGATAAGTTAGTGGCAATCAATTTTTATATATTTAGTGTTAATGTGTAGTGAATGAATACTCAAGTACGGTGAACTTATTTGTTTTTTTAAAAGTAGAATTACGCATTGTTTTTTTGTAAAATATGAAGATCATATATTAAATACATCATCTTCACATCTTCATTCAATTGTCTTTTACATACTTCATCGTTCGTTTAATCTTGTTGTATTATACTTATTGTTACCTAGTTCCCTTCCTTTTCACCTTATTTCAATCTTTTACTGGTCAACATTACACTTTCAATTTCTTCTTATACTACTTATGTCTGTTCACATAAATAGCGCATATCAAACTAATACACATTTGACATAACTCAAGATAAATGTTTAGTACTTGAGACAATCGATTTGATAGTGAATATACTAAACTTTGCAAATATGAAGTTAATTAACTATTCTCATTGCACATCTATTCTCTAAGACATTCATTGAAATATTTTGAATACATTAAAAGAAACGTAAATTAGTAGTAGTAATGCATATAACTCAATTTAAAACATTAGGTTATGTTATAGTGCAAATTATTATCTATTACAGTTGTGAATAATTAAAATGTCCTTAAAATATATCATTAACAATTATCACATAGTATGATATACAACTCTATAATATCAGTTAATTAACAATAGTTGTTAATTAGTAAGAACACTTTTATTCAACCATCTATATACTCAACATCCATTGGCCGAATACCATCATTAACAACCTTTTGTGGGAGAGAACAAACCAACTTCCAGCTGAAGAGGAAATTAGGAAAAGACGATGAAAATGGATAGGACATACATTAAGCAAATCATCAAACTGTATCACGAGGCAAGCCCTAACTTAGAATCCTGAAGTGAAGCGGAAAAATGGTAGGACAAAGAACACATTACGTCGGGAATTAGAATCAGATATGAAAAGCATGAATAACAACTGGAAAGAGCTGGATAGGATTGCCCAGGACAGGGTTGGATGGCGAATGCTGGTGAGCGGCCTATGCTTCTTCCCGAGGAGTAACAGGAATAAGTAGTAGGATATGTTGTTCATGATATGTGAAATATCAATGAAAAATATGTAATAAGACTGAATAAGAAATGATTTCGAAAAATATTGTATATTCTAATATGCTAAATAACATTTCAACTGATTGATACAGAGAAAAGGTACTTCAAAAAAACAAATAAATATGAAAGAAGTATGGTGGAGACTGTATTGATTTAATAGTTTAGTTCATTAGTCAATTAAAGCTAGGTCACCATGGAAAACCTGTAAGTAGTCAACATCGGTTTCGTTCTAGTATGGGACATCTTAGCTGTATGCATCCACGATCCCGCTCACGGGATTTAAACCTAGGACCCTCGGTCTTGCACGCGAACGCGATAATAATCATTATGTGTTCATTAGTGACTGGCTTCAAGATATATATCCTGGAGTTCTAGTGAGAAGCAGTAGCCGATGGAGTTCAACCGGGTCTGTTGTGAGATAGTAACTCACTGAAGACAATGGTGGATGTATCGCTCAATTTCGTGGATAAGTTGAAGTTGAACATTAACATCGTTGAATACCGGCTCAGTGGTCTAGTGGTTAAGCATTCGCGCGTAAGACTGATATGTCTTGGGTTCGAATCTCGCGGGGGGTGGTATCGTGGATGAGTACTGCTGAGGAGTCCCACAGTAGGACGAAACGGCCGTTCTGTGCATCCAGGTTTTCCATAGTAGTTTAGCTTTAATTGACTCATGATCTCAACTATAAAAACAAATATGAGTTCATTATTCAGTTGGTTTTAATTGCATACTGACGAGTACAAAGGATATAATACATTTTTTAATTTGTAAAAAATAGGTGAGACTATCATTTATAGACGAACCAATCAGATTGAGGACAACAGGTCTTGAATTGTGATGCGTAATTCATTCATCCATTTGACCAAATATCGTCTTGGCATTTTAGTTGATACCAGTTCGTGATGAAAACCCTAAATCTAATTCCTAACCTGAACTATCAACTGTCAGTCATGATCCTTATTTTTCAAACTGCCTTATAACCTTCATTTATCTCTAGTATATAGGTAAACATTCTTAAGGTCATTATAGTGTCATTGAAAGGTCGTCCATAAATTATAGTCTTACCAAAAAATATTTAAAATTCACATGACTAAAAGAAATAATGTCTTAATTATAAATTACTTTATAGTTAATTGGAAATTATTTATTTCATAAATGAGATAATACAACATATTAATTTGTTATAGTTATTTGGAATGAAGTCTACTGATAAATGTATCCTGTAAAAGGCAAATATAGAACTCAAGGATATATATCTTGAAGCCAGTCACTAGTGAGTATATGTTGATTAGTATCAGAAGGGGTTTTGTGGAGATTGTAGTAATCTCAACAGTTGAGATCATGAGTCAATGACCAGTGGAGTTCAACCGGATCAGTTGTGAGGTAGTAACTCACTGATGACAATAGTGGATGTGTGGTTCAGTTTCGTGGATTAGTTGAACTTATACACTGACACCGTTGGATGCCGACCTACTCAGTGTTCTTGTGGTTAGGCGCTCAAGCACGAGACTGATAGGTCCTAGGCTCGAATCCCGCGAGGTAGGGTCGTGGATGCGCACTGCTGAGGAGTCCCACACTAGGACGAAACGGCCGTCCAGTGCTTGCAGGTTTTCCATGGTGGTCTAGCTCCAATTGACTCATGATCTCAACTGCTGAAATTACTACAATCTCCAAAAACTCCTTCTGATACAAATATAATTTCATTACATTCTGATCTATCAATATTTCAATAATATAATTATCATAATTAAATCTACTCGAATACATCCATCATGATAATTGTTTTACAACAATCCAGCATTTAATATATTCATTTTGAAATAAAAATAAAGAATTTTTGTTTGAAAATTAATAAAATATGATGGTCATGTACAACATAATCTTCATTGTTATTAACTATGTAGAATTGTGAAGATTGTTTGGGTTTGGCTTGAGACCAATGTTAAACCACCAATGAAAATCTGGAAGTAGTGAACAGCCGTTTCGTCCTAGTATGGGACTTCTTAGTAGTATGCATCCACAATTCCATACGGGGGAATTGAATCCAGGACGTTCGGTCTTATGTGAGCGCTTAACCTCTAGATCACTGAATCTAACTTCAGCCAATCAACAATATATATATATATATATATATATATTTGTAATTTCCAGCAGCATAATCGTCATGAATAACGTTTCATTATTCTTTATACCATTCAAGTAACCAAAACAATTTTAGTTCATTTACATTAAATGTATAATAACTCCAAGCTTCCAGAATCTATTTGAGTATTATTTTCAGTTCAAAGTTAATGAATTACAAGAAGCTTGATGTCCATTAGCAATACTTCTATGTATTATCGTAAATTTTCGTATTCTCATAATAGAATGATTAGATAAACTGTATTCAAGTATATTTCAAGTTAACAACGATTTCTAAGTTGTTAAACAATAGGTTAAATATAGCATAATATAGTTTTCATAAAACAGTTCTCGAACATATAGAATAAACATTTTAGTATGATGTCAACAGTATGGAGTAGTTTAGTCAATTAATAAACATTTATTTACAAGCTGTAAATTGAATCAAATTAGGTCATAGAACGAAAGCGAAAAAAAAACATTTTTTTAAGAACAGAAAACATATTGACTACACTTTCTCAACATTCACTACTATAGAGAGTTTGTTGTATTTGTTAAACCTCATATAATCCAATAAATTTCACAAACTCTTTACAGTTTAATAATCATATACTCATTAGTGACTAGTTTTGAGAGATAAGTCCAAATGTTTCAGTGATTACCCATACCTAATGAAGTTCAACCACATCAGATATGAGGAAGTTAGTCACATATAGCATTGGAAGATGGCTACAAAATATAGCTTACTGAATGACTAAAGTTAGAAATTCAAACTATCAGATACTAACTAAATAGTATAGATAAAAAGAGTTTACCATAAGATCTGTATATCTTAGATTCAATCACTCATGTCATCGTTAATGATCACTACTAAGGAGTCCTATATTAATACAAGACAGTAGTCCACTACTTATTATTATTTTCAATGATTGTTTAACACAATCAGTGAATGTTATAAATTAATTCATAAATGATTATAGTTACCTTCATAAAAACCTTCAGATCTGTTTTATATCAAAATTTGTAATTTACATCTAAACATTATCATTTAAAGTATGAAGAATAAGATACACTTACACTGAAGATTCATATCTCATTATTATTGTGAATTGGATGGTATTATACTACACAGATGAATGATTATTGATTTTTGAATATCTTGATAATACATAAATATGACAAATAATAAAATCCCAAATGTTATTGAAATATATATATTATCTTCCAAGAATTATCATGAATGAATTACGTTTTTCAATGATAGTCAAAAGTGTACTTTAACTGTAATATAACTGCTACTATAGGACCTTCTTTTTCTTTAATACAATATTTTTTGTCTAAACTTTTGTGTATTATATTCCATTTTTATTTAGTCTTTATAAGAATAAATCTAATTCACTACACCTTAGGATTTCATTACTTGTGTTATGATGATGTAACAATGAATAGTTCCATTAATTTTAATACTAATTATACTAGTCCTATTAATTATTTCTGGTATTCTTCATATACCAATGAGTGATTGTTATCATGAAAAACAATTATTGAATTCTTTGAGTATATATCTACACATAAAGTTCTCAGGAGGAATCGATGAATAAGTGGTAGAAATTTCTTTGCAGTGATTTAAAAAATAAAAAAATTTCCCAGTTGACTGGTTAGTAATAATAATAATGATTTTGAATTCTGAATATAATCAGTAGTATTTTTGTTAATCTATCACATTCCCATGAATATTCCTGATTATAAAGATTGAAATAAAACTTTCTCTAAATGAAATTTCATCATTTTACCAAAGTGAAATTTATTATCTAACCTAATCATGTATTCCCTTTGTATTGACCAATCACCATTCAATGTGTGTTATGTAATGTGTCAGTAATTTTTTCCCCATATTTAAAAAAAAAATAATATAAAAGCTAATTATTAACATCTTGAAAATAAACATAAGAGATCAGTAAACATTTTATCAGTTTATTATAAGCTTAAAACTGGCAATAGGAAGGTTATTTTTCTAAAATGAACTAGTTGAGTAAGGAAGATAGTTTCACTTCTAAAAAAGAAAATAAACAATAATTAACGAGAAGTTAAATATCCCTATTAGGAACGGATAATCTGATTGGTGATTACTTATATTATTCATAAGGCGTATTATACCTTTATTGGAACAAAAAGTGGTTAAAATTACTATATTTTTTCTTTGATATACCACTATTTCTTTAAATAATTACATACACATATAATATAACATACGAGAATAGTATTGTTTACTGTTATAAATAAGGTTTGTACATTCCAAGAATGATTTTTGTCGGGAACTATTGGAAACACAGACATTATCAGACTACTGTTACGTCTGAAGGCTAGAACTCGTTAATTGAGCACACCCACAACCTTACAACTTATCAAAGCTATAACTTTTAGGTTTCGTAGTGAGTAGGATATATTTAAATTACTAGATAGATTTCCAATGATCTATACAATCTCATTACATAAAAAAAGGTGAATAAAAGTAAAATTGGAGACTGTTACACAACAACAAACTGGTTTTAATTAATTTTGCTAGTTATATAATTTGAATACTTTTTCGTAGAATTATGATTGTTGCACCGCCTAGAGCTTTTAAACTAAGATAAAAAAAAACAGATTCTCAGTGCTCTTTGAGTTTCTGTTTAGTGATATCTCAAATAAACAGCCAGTCTATAAAACACACAGAAAACAAAGTACGAATCTCTTCAGTTAAATTGATTCAATATAAATTTGAAAGTAAAACACAATCATATTCAGACCACATAGGTAAAAATCAAATTGGAAAAAAACCCATGACAAGTTAAATTTGGAATTTTTCAAAAGTAAACATTCAACCAGAGATAAATCTGTAAAAAAATTAATTAACTTTTTATGTGATAAAACAAACAGGAAAATATCCTACAACTTCATGAAAATGTCAACGTTGACCAACTGAAGTATATTGCCCTGGTACGGCCGAGAATGATGAAAGTCAGCTCTCCCTCTTCAAATGCCCTTACATAGTCACGCGTATATTCACTGCCTTCTCGCAGCAGGGGTGTTGTTTACGAAATTAAGAGAACGAAAAGCGGATGTCCGGTGCATTAGCCTGATTGGTGGACACGAAGAGTTCACCCAGGTGAGTTGGAAAACTCTGATTCTAAACCAATGGTGTACATGGAGCCCCTGTATCCTGAAGGAATAAATAAAGTATGAACCAATGATTGGTCACTAGCTACCATAAGACTGCATCTCCTAATGTTGCTCCACTGCCTTTTGATCGAAGGCTCCGGGTGTGGCTCCTAAGAAAACCACCTGCTTTAGTTTAGGCACCCGGACAGTATCATAGCCCATACATAAATCAAGTGACTTGTGTGGCGCATATGTATTCGGTGCCCCTTTGTACCAATATTTATGTGTTCAAATAAATAAATAAATAGAAGAATATTTCAAAAGTCATACGATAAAAGGGTTTCAATTAGCGAACGGTTTTATTTTGTGTTTCATTTGAAATAATAAATATTCTAGAAATATTCACAACTTACTGAAACTCCAACTTTTAATCTTTTGTATTTCACTTCGCATGTGTTAATATTTTCCTGCATATAAGAAAGCTAACTGACAATAATTTATATAAGTCACTATGTTTACACATGAATTACTGCTTATCAACAACCGAAATTAAATATTATAATCAGAACTGAAGGTTTGTGGACCGTTTGGTAGTTCTAGTATGGAACTCCCCAATACTGCACATCCACGATCCCACCCCGCGAGACTCGAACCCGTAATTTCGTGGATTGGATAAAGTTACATATGAAGACAGTTGAATGCTGACAGGTTCAATGGTCTAAAGGTTAAGTGTTCGCTCGCTAAACCGATAAATCCTGGGTTCGAATCTCGCAAGCTAGATCGTGGAAACACAGTACTAAGGAGTCCTATACAAGAATGAAATAGTGATCCCGTGCTTCCAGACTTTTTATGATGATTTAGCTTTAATTGACTCATGATTTCAACTATTAAATAGACATTAATATTTTATTTTAAATAACTTTATAATAACCGAATAAAATAGATTTCATGAATGAGAAATGATTCACTTTTCATAAACTAATTACATGAATGATAATGATAATGTACAAAACATTATCATCTAGAGCTTTAAGCTCACTATACAATAAGTTATTCCTTTAGCTTTTTTATATTTCAAAGTATAATTACTTAGCAACAACAGTTGATTAAAGAAGAAAAAAAACTTTTTGATTAAACTCTACCAACTTTTATCTCCATCCAAAAACAAGAAAAAAAAAGGAGGAAAGGAAAAGAAAAGAAAATCTAAATAAATAGTAATTTTATTTATGATTTGCTTCAAGCAAAATCTAATAAATCAAAATGATAGTTCTTTTTATGGGTAAATTTTGTCTATAAACACTTCTCAAAATAGAAATAAATTTTGACCTGATTACAATCACTTAATCTTACAATAATAAATGAACTATTTGATGAGAAAAAAAAGGGAATAAAAAAACCCGTTTTTGTTTATTATTTCAAGTTTAACAATCATTTACTTAGTGAATAAACCAATGAAAGTGTAATTATTATTAAGTGATCAGTATGAGATTGTGAAGATTATTAAGTTTTTGATTGAGATCATGAACTGATTGATGTTAGATCATCATTGAAAACCTGGAAGTACTGGATGTTTGTTTCATCCTAGTATGAAACGTCTCAATAGTGCGCATCCATGATCCCACTTTCAGGATTTGAACTTACCAGCTATCGATCACACACATGAACAATTAACCTCTAGATCATTGAGCTGAGATTCATCAATGTTAATGTCTAACCTCAACCAGTTCACGAAATTGAGTGACCATCTATCCAATAGAATGCTAACAATGAATAGAATACTGTAATTAGTTTTTTACAATTAAAGAGAACTTTCATATTTTTTTAACTGTACAAAAAAAACTGAGTTGAGTACTATGTTAATTATTAACTCTTCTTTTTTGGTTGACATCATGAATTAATTGATGTTAGACCACCGTTGGAAACCTGGAAGCAATGGACGGCCGTTTCGTCCTAGTATGGGACTCCTCAGCAGTGCGCATCCACGATCCCGCACCCCGCGGGATTCGAACCCAGGACCTACTGGCTTCGCGTCTGAGCACTTAACCATTAGACCACAGAGCCGGCATTCAATGGTGTTAGTGTCTAACATCAACCAATCCAAGAAATTGCGCGACCATCTTCCATTGTACTGAGGTAGATACCTGTCTCTACCCGACACGGATTAGCTCCATTGGTCACGACTTCTCACTAGAACTCCGAGAATTTCCTCACGAAGCTAGTCACTAGTGAGCACATGTTAATTATCAGTATGGGGGTTGTGGAGATTGTTAAGTTTTTGGTTGAGATCATGAATTAATTGATGTTAGACCACCGTTGGTTAAGTGCTCAGGCGCGAAGCCAGTAGGTCCTGGGTTCGAATCTCGCGGGGTGCGGGATCGTGGATGCGCACTGCTGAGGAGTCCCACAATAGGACGAAACGGCCGTCCAGTGCTTCCAAGTTTCCAACGGTGGTCTAACATTAATTAATTCATGATCTCAACCAAAAACTTAACAATCTCCACAACCCCCATACTGATATTAACTCTTCAGTGTTAACAAAATATTTAATCAATAAGTACTGATACAATAAAAAAACCCAAAAAAACATTCTACTCACTATCACTAAAAGTTCATATTAAGCTATTCTAACTAATAAATCTTATTAGTTTTAAGAGTTAATGCACATTCTCATTAATATAGATAAATGTAAGTTACTTACTTTTGTTATTCTCTTCTTTTTTTTTAATTTTAAACTTTAAAGCATTCACCTTCTTCTCTTTATTGATAACACAATCTCACAGTTATCATTCTTTAATTGTATTACATTATTTATTTAAAGTTATTTACACAGTTATGTAACATCTTATATAATAATAGACTATTGAATAATTCAAACTTGTTGAGCAATCCCAGTAATTACATTTAGGGAGAATTTCAGTAATATAAAAGGATTTATTCTGAAGCTATAACCAGTTACAATTTTTTATTGTATATATATGACTCTCGTATTCAATAGATTTTAATATTATGTGTTCTTGTGTAGATCTGCACTAATTAACAATCATTTAGGTAATATCTTTTATCTGAAAATAAAGCAAACTGATATTGAGAAAATCATTTTTTGGTTAATGTTTATTCTTGTCATAAATATCTGTGAAATAAAACTACAAAACATGCAACTAAATAGTTCAGCTCTCACAATTGATTGATCACTGGGTGGTGATCAATCTCATGCAACATGATCGATAGCATTCGATCTGCACTAATAAGGACTAGACAAGCATGACATTGATCACCACCCAGTGATCAATCAACTGTGATTACATCTCAGTCCTACAGGAGGTTAGTCACGGCTCGGATAGCTCAGTGGTAACGTCTCTGACTGTGAAGCTGGGTGACACGAGATCGAATCCGTCAGGGAGCACCAGTTCCCTCAAGATTACAGGTACACCTTGCTGACGAGTGCCAAGTAGCACGAAACCCGGGTCCAGGGTTTCCTGTTGACTACCTCCAACCACCATCTAATAGTTCAGCTCTCTCTTTCCCTCTCTCTCTCTCCCCCCTCTCTCCCCCCCTCTCTCTTTCTATATATATATATATATATATATATATATATATATATATATATATATATATATATATATATGGATTGAAGCTAAGCGATAGATTTCAAACTATTCTGTACTAGATTTAAACTCACTGAAGGCAACCTGTAAACCTCTTGAAATTAATTCAGTTTTATGTGATACAGTGATTATCGATACTTATTGTAACCACTTCATTATGATCGACACATTTTAATCTATCTCATATATAAACTTTAAGTTGGAGCAAAAACTTCTGTAAATCATATATATATACGAGAGAGAGAGAAAGAGAGGGAAAGAGAGAGCTGAACTATTTAGTTGCATTTTTTCT